AGTTCCTTGTGAGTAGGCGGAAGTGATGGAGTAAAAATTTAGAAATTGTGTATTTTGGTGCTGCAATTAATTATACTATCAGCTGCAGGGGGACTTTGGGTTTATTAACTGTAGGTAGTCCATAAATCTTAGTGATGGTCCGTTCAGTTTGTTTAAAGGATTCGGCAAGATCTCCTGAAACTTGTTTCAATCCATTAAGACACTTCAACACTTTCTCAATGGATGAAGTTTGAGCCTTGGTAGGGTCTGTCAGAAAAGGCTTGTAGTTAGTTTTGTTCAAAATAGCAGTTGAGCCTCCTTTATCCGCGAGGACGACGACGATGGTTTTGTCGGTTTTGAGAGTATTTAAAGCTTTCCTCTCTTCATGTGATGGTACTGAAAACTGATTTCGGTCTTTCAGGGCTTTGACAGCATTGTTTCGGATAGTAAATTGTTCGTCCGCTGTGAGATGAGGTGTTCATATGATGGACTCGAAGTTCCCAAGGAAGTCCAGACGATTGAAATCAGAAAAATTGCACTTGATTCCTTTTGAAAGCACATTTTCTTCTTCTGTTGTAAGGACTTTCGACAACAGACTTACGACCTTTGCTGAAACCTTCTGGTTTGTATAAGATTTCTGGGAGATATTCGTCCATTTTTGTCTAATATGCTCTTCTTCTTTTGTTGTTCGTGTTCTGAAGAATTGACGATCATGACGCTTTGAGATTCAAATAATTCCAAGCGCAGTTCTTCTTGGCAAAATTGCACTGTTGCTCCTTAGAAGATTGAAATTTTCGAAGACGGGAATGGGCATCCGATATGAAGGCACCAAGCATGCTTCGCCCATATCGTGTTGCAATTTGATATCCTGTCTCGGTATTTGTGTAGAAATCTAACTGTTCTCGCGTTTGACTTTCGCGAATGGCACACTACTCTGCGTCTGATGGCGAGCTGGAGCTTCAGTCCCGAAAATTCACGCAATAAACTCTACTTCGCGAAGAACATATTTGACTCCAACTTTTATTCCTTGGGAATGCGTACCTTTCAGCATAAACGCAGGCATTTTGACCGCGAAGTTTTGCTTCAAGCTAGACGGGGCGAGCATAGCCCGTATGCCACAGGTGAACACACGTCGAACATAGTTAATATCGCCTATCGCAATCGACAGGACAACGGGCCCCTGGATCAACTTTTAGAGCATTGGATTTGATAACTTTCGATGACTCAAGAATA